GAGTCGGAGCCGGCGGGTAAGTGTTGGAAGTGGTTCTGGTGGTAGAGAGCCGCCGGTTCGAAAGGGATTCCGTAAGACTGGACCAAGTGGATGTGGTCGGAGGAGGACTGGTGGGTCAGACCGGGATTCTGATCAGAAGATGAAGAAGATTCCGACGAGAGTTTGAGCCGTTTGGCCGCCCCTCCGATCGGGAGGGAACTTTTCATGATGGCTTCTATGTCGTACCGACTCATCTCGAAGTTAGTAACGGCGTTGATTCCTCTAAACTTTATGGCCGCTATGTCATAAGCCTCGGCCGCCTCTTCCTCGGTCGCTGCAAGTTAGTCGAAAAAACACAGCATTAACCCGTCGGTCCAAAATTATTTAACCTCTCTTGGTAATATGACTAACAATGTTTGAAGTGGACTATTTTACCGAATGTTCCGAGGTAAAGATCCTTGTTCCCGGCGACACGGCCAATCCTCGCTTGCCACCGACCCTGCTGATGATGCCTGCGGGATAATCGCCGGTCCATATTTACGTCCCAAACGAAATTTACAAGTGACTCATAGTTTGAAGAAAATGTATGTACCTCGTGACGCCCCGGTATATCGAGGCGCCCCTCGAGAATCCGCTACTCTTCCTGAACATTACGAAATCCGAAACGGTTATAACTTTCCTAAAAAAATCCGAACCGAGGATTCGGGGAAAAAACGGGAATGATCGGACTCACTCACCTCCTGAGGGATGCAATGAACTCTTGCTTCGTCGAGTGTTTCATTTCATCCATTTCTTTCGTGTAATTCGATATCTAAAATCACCAAAGAGAATACTAACATATAATATCTTGGATATATATATATATATATATATATATAAATATTATATGAGATAAATTAAAAAAAAAAAAGGAAAGAGGGAGAGAGAATACCGGGAAATTGGTAGTAGCAGTGGGACCCCAGTATTTTAGAGCAGCAAGGTCGTAGGCTCGAGCTGCCTTGTCTTCCTTATCATATCCGCCTGATGAATTCGAAATTATGATTAATCGGTCCGACCGTACAGACCGATGATTCCGGCAATAAACCGATCGAGAGATGTCGTTCGTTACCTAAATACACTGTCGAGCCAATTCACAAATCCAACCCGTATCGAGTCCCCAAAGTTACATGAAAAAAAAAACACACAGAGTCAGTTGCCATGCAGGACAAGGATAAGGATGCAAATAAACATCTACTAATTTAACTGAACAAAGTTTATACACACACATATGATATATATGTATGTACTGTGTAAATGGGCATATAGGAAAGTAGCGAAATTATAGGATTAGTGGGTCAAAGCGGGTCCAGATCATGTCAATAAAAAACAGAGTGTATACATCATATGGGAACTGCATGGGACCCATACATGCATGCCTCTATCACCATGTATGTGTGAACTGAGGGATTGTGGAGGAAAAAGAGGATCAAAGAAAAAGAGATGCAGACAAGGAACAAAATGGCGGCATCACCTTCGCATGAAAACATGGAAAATCAACCGTAATATAAAA